GGGGGAGGGGGGGGGGCATTCAGTGGGTTCCTGGAGATCAGTGTTTTGTTCCCATTGATGTAAGGTTTGATTGCTGGAACAACTTGTGGAGCCAAAATAAAGTTATAATCATTTAACTATAGTATGGTAGTAATTAGATTTGTGTTGGGCTAAGCCAATGTAAAGATAACACTGTAATCCACAGGTATTGGACTGTAATAATCTTCACTTTTCACTTACATCAAGTATGTATTTCATTTCAAATTAACATCTTAATCAATTAAGAAGTTGGAAGTTTTTTTCTTGAAATCTCAAATCCCCTCAAACAGACACTAGTTCTCTTCTGAGTAAGTATTCATCATTAACTTTCTGATTTCAATAATCCAATCAAAACTGGTGATACTACAGAGTAGGCCTAAATTACTAGTAACATGATCAACTTATTAGTGGCCATTGGTATATCAATACAGTTGTATCATCAACAGTCTCTGAGGTTAGTGGAGGAAGGGAGGTAATACAGATATAACAAAAATAATTTCAGGAGTGGGAAAGTACAGAAATTAACTCTTGGATAAAAAGCTCTTGGGTAAAATACCATAAAATAAATACCAAGCATTTGTGTAAGAGTTATTTCCCTTTTAGTAGTATTATGCAATCATTAAGAACATCTCAATGCCATCAATGTTAACGCTTTATTGGATCTAAATGTTCATGAATTAATCGGTTAAGTTGAAAAAAAAATCATTCCTAAAAGAGGCTTAACAGGTATTTCTGCACAGAACTCTTTTTGGAAAGGAGTTACATTTCAGATTAAGGTAGTGTACCCACTTAACCTAGAATGTCACATTACATATTTACAGATTTATTATTTTTTATTTCTTACTTTTCGAAATTTAACAATATTTAAAAATACATTGGATACTTTTAAGTGATGTTTACTACTCTAGAATCATGGTGTTTACATTATTAGTGGTAACTCGGGCCTAGGACTGACACAGACTATGTTATGGTGTTTACATTATTAGTGGTAACTCGGGCCTAGGACTGACACAGACTATGTTATGGTGTTTACATTATTAGTGGTAACTCGGGCCTAGGACTGACACAGACTATGTTATGGTGTTTACATTATTAGTGGTAACTCGGGCCTAGGACTGACACAGACTATGTTATGGTGTTTACATTATTAGTGGTAACTCGGGCCTAGGACTGACACAGACTATGTTATGGTGTTTACATTATTAGTGGTAACTCGGGCCTAGGACTGACACAGACTATGTTATGGTGTTTACATTATTAGTGGTAACTCGGGCCTAGGACTGACACAGACTATGTTATGGTGTTTACATTATTAGTGGTAACTCGGGCCTAGGACTGACACAGACTATGTTATGGTGTTTACATTATTAGTGGTAACTCGGGCCTAGGACTGACACAGACTATGTTATGGTGTTTACATTATTAGTGGTAACTCGGGCCTAGGACTGACACAGACTATGTTATGGTGTTTACATTATTAGTGGTAACTCGGGCCTAGGACTGACACAGACTATGTTATGGTGTTTACATTATTAGTGGTAACTCGGGCCTAGGACTGACACAGACTATGTTATGGTGTTTACATTATTAGTGGTAACTCGGGCCTAGGACTGACACAGACTATGTTATGGTGTTTACATTATTAGTGGTAACTCGGGCCTAGGACTGACACAGACTATGTTATGGTGTTTACATTATTAGTGGTAACTCGGGCCTAGGACTGACACAGACTATGTTATGGTGTTTACATTATTAGTGGTAACTCGGGCCTAGGACTGACACAGACTATGTTATGGTGTTTACATTATTAGTGGTAACTCGGGCCTAGGACTGACACAGACTATGTTATGGTGTTTACATTATTAGTGGTAACTCGGGCCTAGGACTGACACAGACTATGTTATGGTGTTTACATTATTAGTGGTAACTCGGGCCTAGGACTGACACAGACTATGTTATGGTGTTTACATTATTAGTGGTAACTCGGGCCTAGGACTGACACAGACTATGTTATGGTGTTTACATTATTAGTGGTAACTCGGGCCTAGGACTGACTTGGTGCTTTACCCTTGACCAGTGAAAGTGAAATATTTCAAGGTTTATTTTGGATAAAAACAAATGCCTTCTGTTGAGATAAAAATTCAGTGTTGAATTCTTGTCTCTAGAATCTGAATAGTTAACATCAGTATTCTGTGAAAGTCTGCCATAATGATAACAAATGCTTATGTCTTATCAAAATTCTGCACATTTGGGGTGTTTTAAATCTTGTTGCCATGGTAACTAATTTTATCATCTATCAGTGGAACTCTCTAGAGTAAGGTTTGAAAATACCTTAGATAAAAAGTCGAGGGCAGTGTGAGGAATGATTTCCAAATGTTGACCATTGAAATTTCTACTGATATATGGTCAGTTTGAGTGATCTGGTCAGCGGTATCAGTAATGTTGAATAGATGTGTGAGATTCTGGCCATTTGCTGTCCAAATAGTTATTTATAAATCTGGGGTACTGCACGGCCCAGTGATGGAGGTCAACGATTACAAGAATAAAATGGGGATAAAAATGTCAGAAGTCATCTACTTGTTGGAATAAGAAGTGATATGTTCAGGTGGTATTTTATTTTTGCTGTCATTGTAAAATGAAGTTTAAGTCAAATACAACAACATGCATGCGATTAGCAGTGGCTTCATATTTAAGACAGATTTTTATAATTATTTCAAAATGAACAAAGTTTTAATTTACACAAATTACTATCAGGACTTAGTTTGTTCTGAATNCAAGTTTGGACATTTTGTTTTAGGGAGGAGATGCTAGCACTTTTTCTGCTGGAGCACCTGCTGCCAGCTCAGGAGGACCCCCAGCTCCACCACCACCAGGCCCCCCACCACCCCCACCACCAATAGTTGATGCCCCCACAGGATCCACAGGAAGCTCTACTGATGGAAGGGCAGCCTTGTTCGACGCCCTTAATAAGGGCGCTGACGTCACCAAAGGTAGGTCATGCAACAGTACACTAGGTCAGGTGAAGGTACACTAGGTCATGTGATGGTACAACAGGTCATGTGACAAAACAATAGGACATGTGACAGTACAATAGGTCATGTGACAGTTCAATAGGTCATGTGACAGAACAATAGGTCATGTGACAGTACACTAGGCACTGTAACAGTACATTAGGTCATGTGAAAGTACACTAGTCACTGTAACAGTACATAAGGTCATGTGACAGAACAATTGGTCGTGTGACAGAACAATAGGTCATGTGACAGTTCAATAGGTCATGTGACAGTACACTAGGTCATGTAACAGAACTATAGGTAATTTAAAAGTACAATATGTCATGTGATGTACACTTGGTCATGTGACAGAACAATAGGTCGTGTGACAGTACAATAGGTCATGTGACAGTAAACTAGGTCATGTGACAGTACACTAGGCACTGTAACAGTACATAAGGTCATGAGACAGAACAATAGGTCGTGTGACAGTACAATAGGACATGTGACAGTACACTAGGTCATGTAACAGTACTATAGGTCATTTAAAAGTGCAATATGTCATGTGATGAACACTAGGTCATGTGACAGTACAATAGGTCATGTTATGTACACGAGGTTCTTTGACAGTACGATTGATCATGTGATATACACTTGGTCATGTGACAGAACAATAGGTCGTGTGACAGTTCAATAGGTCATGTGACAGTACAATAGGTCATGTTATGAAAACTAGGTTAGTTGACAGTACATCAGGTCATGTAACAGTATACAATTGTTTCATTGGTACTGGGGGAACAGTCAAATTTTTGACCCTCGGTAGCAGGGAAGACCTAGGGAACTGTTTCCTAGGTCTTCCCTGCTACCGAGGGTCAAGGATTTGACTGTTCCCCCAGTACCAATGAAACAAATGATTTATTACCCGACTCTCTATTGAAGAAACTTCATGAATTGTGCGAGTCAGGATAAATGACTCTATGGAAGGAAAGAAGATTTAATTCTTTATTATTTAAAGTCCAAAACTCGTTCAGTTGTTCATTACTGCAGCTTTCGTCGATCATAACACCTTTCTCTGCACAATATTTATCCAAAATATTCACAGCTCCCTTTATGACGTTTGTTATAAAAAGAGAGTCCTTATTGTCCATAACCAATTCCAAATTGTCAGAAACATCCTCAAATCTGCCGTTATTCGCCATTTTTACTAGACGACAACAAACAAATCTGTATCAATAAGACGCTTGAGTGGGGCCGCCGATTGTCGCGCATGTAACAGTAAGTGTGCAACAGCTGACTGTTGCACCCTGACATTATTTTACGGGTTTTCAGTCTTTTCCAGGGAATTTTTATTAAAACAGTCAAAAATACTTCATATACACTTATATAAATAGAGAGTCAGGTAATAATACACTTTATCATTAAACAGTACACTTAGTCATTAAACAGTACACTTTATCATTAAACAGTACACTTAGTCATTAAACAGTACACTTAGTCATTAAACAGTACACTAGGTAATGTGATGGTGAGGTTGGTTTGTCATTAAACAGTACACTAGGTAATGTGATGGTGAGGTTGGTTTGTCATTAAACAGTACACTAGGTAATGTGATGGTGAGGTTATTGACAAGGTTACTATATTACAGGCCTTAAGACGGTGACTGATAAGATGAAGACACACAAGAATCCAGCACTTAGACAGGGACCTGCTCCCTTTAAGGCCCCAGTCAAGGCTCCCCCCAAACCTGCTCCAAAACCCGCAGCTAAAGTGGTGGTCAAACCTCCTGTTACGGAGCTACAGAATGGCAAGAAGTGGGTCGTGGTAAGTTATTATAGTAGTGTAAAGTTGTTACATGTCTGGGGAACAGAACTCATGTCCAGAGGTGCTGGAGAAGACACACAGAACTATTGTCCAGAGGTGCTGGAGAAGACACACAGAACTCTTGTCCATAGGTGCTGGAGAAGACACACAGAACTATTGTCCAGAGGTGCTGGAGAAGACACACAGAACTCATGTCCAGAGGTGCTGGAGAAGACATGCAGAACTATTGTCCAGAGGTGCTAGAGAAGACACACAGAACTTTTGTCCATAGGTGCTGGAGAAGACACACAGAACTCATGTCCAGAGGTGCTGGAGAAGACATGCAGAACTATTGTTCAGAGGTGCTAGAGAAGACACACAGAACTATTGTCCAGAGGTGCTATAGAAGACACACAGAACTATTGTCCAGAGGTGCTAGAGAAGACACACAGAACTATTGTCCTGATGTGCTGGAGAAGACATGCAGAACTATTGTTCAGAGGTGCTAGAGAAGACACACAGAACTATTGTCCAGAGGAGCTGGAGAAGACACACAGAACTATTGTCCTAGGTTCTAAACCATGAAACCACTGAATTGTTCCCAGAATAGATGAACATGCTTTAATTGTTAATACACAAATATTAATGACAAAAAAATAAACTTAATGTAATTTCAAGATTGCAGTATCAAATACTCTAAAAGAGTGAATGAATACAATGATAAATAATGAAACATTTTTAGGAGAATTGATCTTAGTATCAAAAATGCTATCATCATGGGCCAAAGGTAAATTGTATTTTGCATGTAACAGTTTGTGGGGGTGAAATGTCTCTGTTTCACACTAAATGTGGAAAGAACCTAAAAACCATCATTCATTGCCATTAAATAAGACCATAAGGTTACAGTCACAGTTTATAAAGAATGCGATTTGTTTTTAAAGAATCTTACATTTTGACAATGCTTACATGCTAAGTATGACATTTCTTCCTTATTGTGGTTTAGTGTGTGGTATTTTCTGAGCCTACTATCTAGATGATTAAACTCTTATTTATATCACCAGCTTTGCTAATTGCTAACATTCTTGTTGACCACCATTACGGTTTTGGTGTGATGACCTGCTGTTTGTTGTTTGTAGGAGAACCATGTGGACAACCCAAACATCCAGATTACAGATACCGCCATTAACCAAACTGTTTACATCTACAAATGTCAGAAATCAACCATCCAGATAAAGGGCAAGATCAACTCCATCATCGTAGGTAAGGTCAAGGTCAACTGCCAAGGTCAGATCCATCATTGTAGGTAAGGTCAAGGTCAGCTCCATCATTGTAGGTAAGGTCAAGGTCAACTACATCATTGTAGGTAAGGTCAAGGTCAGCTCCATCATTGTAGGTAAGGTCAATGTCAACTGCCTAGGTCAGCTCCATCATTGTAGGTAAGGTCAAGGTCAACTACATCATTGTAGGTAAGGTCAAGGTCAACTACATCATTGTAGGTAAGGTCAAGGTCAACTACAATCATTGTAGGTAAGGTCAACTTGTTACATTGGTGAGACCTTGTTCAATCATAGTAGTGAATGATAATTTGCAGATAATGATGCCCTATTACTCTTAATTCTAAATCCATGATAGCTTCTGCTAGGTGAACATAGTGGATGTATATCTTCGTAGCTAGCCCTTGTTCAGAGTGGACTCATTTAGGGTCTAGGGCAGGCCCCTTGGTAGGGACAAGGCGTACAACAAGTAGAGTTTTTTGTTAGGTGTTTTAGTTTGAAAATTTGGATTCACCTGTGTACCAGCGTATAGGCAGCTACGCGCCTGTATATATTGTCACGTATGTGTTATATACTGTTAAATACCCCCAGAACAAAGTATGGGGGTAGGGCTTATACTGGAATTGGGGTGTCTATCTGTCCGTCATGCTAAGGACATAATTTTTCCTGATGTACAAATTCCAAAAAACTTGACCGATTGTATTGTAACGTTTTTGTGGGAGTGATTATTTTCAATGTATAACACTTATTGTTTTGTATTTATTTACAGATAGCTGTAAGAAGGTGGGCGTGGTATTTGATGATCTTGTGTCTTCCCTGGAGTTCATCAACTGTCAGAGTGTAAAAGGACAGGTAGATGCTGATAAGTGGATTTGGGTCAACTATATAGTTACCTAGATTTATCATATGATCTACACAGATTTTATCTAAAATGAATAAAGTTCAACTGACATGATTGGTAGAATAACTGTCATATCTGTTGGATAATATTTTGGTATTGGTAATGCTTCTGCTGATATCTCTATTATATCTAATTTATCGCAACATCCCCACCATTGTTTTGATGATTTTTGATTGTTTAATAGAGGATTTTAATTTAACCACAGTGTTCTTTTTCCTAAAAATATGGTAAAATTGATAATTATTAAAGAAACAACATTATGCTGTGATGCCGCAAAAAATCTCCCTACTTCAAAACACAAATCTCCCTACTTTGTGATCCAAAGACATCACATGTATGAGGTTGTGTGGTGTCAACATCACAACATTACTTGGCCCCGTGATAAAATACATGTATCCCTTACTATTCATCCAATTGATCTTAAAACTATTTTTGAAAATTACAAAATGAAAATTCACAAATCTTTTATTTGACTGCACCAGAGTTTATTACATAAATTGTGTTTATTTGGCTTAAAAGAAATGAAACTATCAAAAAAGCTTGCCTAAACATTAACCTGTACAAGTCCAGTTTGTAAAGCACCCTGGTTCTATGGTTGGTGATATCTGTTACCATGTATGAGGAACCAAATACAGTAGAAATCTCATTATCTCAACCCAATGGGAGAGATATAACTGGTTTAGATATCGCATCGTACACTATTAAAACAATTTTTACTATTGAGGGACATGACCGAGGTTTGAATAATTGAAACTTTCTATAGTTGAGGTTTGGATAAGTGAAAGTTTCTATAATCGAGGTCCACATAACTGTTCATCTACTGTACATCCAATTTAATTAATTGACACGCTCTGAAGATCAAGTATAATTTTATTTGAATCACATGACTTGGTAACAAGTGTTCAGTTTCTTGTTGAAATGGTTTAAGAATAGCACTGGCCTGTCAATAAAACACTATAACAGGGTCTATAGATAGAAGTATTGACCTCATATTGCATGTGTTATCGCAACAATACTGACCAGGTTATTAGATAAACATGTTGACCTCCCTGACTGTCATTAACTGTTCTGTTTAACAAGGTGATTGGAACGATGCCGACTGTATCAATAGATAAGACCGACGGTGCCCAGATCTTCCTCAGCGAGAGCTCTTTGAAAGCTGAAATTGTCTCGGCCAAGTCCTCAGAAATGAACGTTGTTATACCAAAGGATGGTGACTTCGTAAGTGGAAGCTGGTAGTTTAAAGAACTGGTGTTAACGATAATATTCTTTAGGGCCCCTCATCAGACATACAGGTGCCCTATAGCAATCACTGTGTCTGTCTGTCTGTCTGTTTGTCTGTCTGTCTGTCTGTCACTCGGTCCACACTTTAGTTTTTGGAATCCAAAAGACTAATCTTTCCGATATCCGACAATGTGGAGGGTACAGTCCTTATCTAGGAATCAAAAAGTCTGAACTTTTAGGAATTTTACATGGTGATACATTGTGATATAAAGATGGGCAAAAGGGTTTTAAATAAATTTAAAGGTCAAGGTCACTGTTCACAATTAAAAAGATGCTATTTCAATATTGAGTCTTGCTAATTCATGCAAAAATTAAACTCCTACGAAAATCATGTGATTTGGTGATAGAAAATTTAAAGCTGTAAAACCTCCCAAATAAACCAGCTTATGATGTTGTTTTTATGTTTCAGGTGGAATTTGCTCTCCCAGAACAATTCAAGACGACTTTTGACGGCAAAAAAATGGTCACTGTCATGTCCGACATCTAAACATTTATTGGAGAAGATTGCCACCTGTTGGACACATCTTGAACTATACTTAGCAACTCTCATATCATTCCAAGTTTTACAAAAGAGATTTGGAATCTGGCCGCTGGATTTTGACAGATTACATTCATCACAACTGAGAACTTATATTTTTGAAGAAAAAATAAATAAATAACATTATGGCCGCATTTATAGCTTTATAAATCAATGTACCCAAAAACATGTTAACAGCGAAGATAAAGAATTGTGTATGCTGAGGATTTTTCAAAGTATCACTCCAAAATTTAATACCAGGTATCTGGGAATTTCTTTTTTTTTTACATCAGGGAATCCATAAATTTTCAATAATTAACGGGAAAATGGGAGTCGGGGGTGAAGAAGTTTAAATGANGCTGTCGTTGTGATTTGCTTGCTGTGCTCTGTCGTTGTGATTTGCTTGCTGTGCTGTCGTTGTGATTTGCTTGCTGTGCTCTGTCGTTGAAATACATTTTTTTAGACGAGTTTGAAATATTTGTAAATGAACAAAAGATAAACCCGTTGCTACAAGTGCTGAATTTATACACTGTTTAGTTTACATTGTTACTTTTATGAACTAGTGCAATTATTTGTAAGAATTAACATAAAATGATTGATTATGCTGTGTTAGGTTTTCATTTGCCTTCGGAAAACATCCTTAGACTTTCATTTATTTTTTTATACACCATCGACCATGTACCAGGAGACGTGAGATTTCATGTAAATCTAAATGTATTTTCCTAAACAAAATCATCATGGTCATTATTAGCAGCAAATTGTAGCAATACTTGATAACACAACGGTCATACAAACAACAATCATAATTTTTATTGATAACTAGTTTTTATATCATCACAGCAACCACTAAGTACCATTAGTCAATTTTTGTTTTGTTTTTATAACAAATTTGTTCATCGTAAAAAATCTGTAGTTACCTCCCTTAGACCATTGGCTTGTAACTGTGATTACATGAAATCCAATTTTAATTTGGATTTTTTTCCCCAGAGGAAAATGTAAGACCATTTTGATACAGTAACAGTTACTAAGAAGAAATTAAATCAATGCATGGCAGAACTAGTGCAGACTCCTAACGATCCAACAGCGAGAAAATATCTCCGGAATTTTATTATTTATACAAATGGTATGATGGTACAGAAACTATGCAAGTCTTGTGATAAAATGTCGCTGCTCACCATTTCCCGATTACGCGTGTATAGTGTTAAAATGTTGCTGCTCACCGTATCGTAGCAGGTATAATCTCACAGCCTTATATCAGTGTAGTAGTGGACATAAAATCTGGGCTAAATGTAAATTTTCTTCTGAGATGTGTTCGGTAAATGATAAAGAACCTTACCAGATAAAGCCCAGGGGATTTACATAATTATGTTTATTTAAATTTGTATCCGTAGCTATTCTGTAATTATATTAATTATACATAATTAGATAGATTTTTAGACCTTGCATCCCTTTTGAGATCATAGTGAGAAAAGTCTTATGTGGTCGAGAAGGGGTGTCAGCTTGTTAGTTCTACCTGTGTTATATAGGAATGTCTCTAATAATGTCACACCATCTGTATTATATTGGTAAACATTTATGATTGTAGTTTAATAGAAAAATCAAGTAAGATTATAGTTGAACCGGCTATGAATGAATGATTTTGCCTCTGTTTTGTCATAGTGCTCAATATGAACAGTTCAGCGTGATGGTTTGTGTTGGGTGACCTTGAGAACACATAATAGGATCCCTGTGATGTTTAACTCATTCACCCCAAAGACACATTTGAACTCCTCCAATTCAAAGGTTGGAATAATTCATTATGAAAATTCAAGGGTGAATGAGTTAACCCTTTCACCACTGTAGACCATAATGGACACATCCATATCAATGCATGGTATAGTCTACTTAAGTTACATAGGGGTGAAAGGGTTAAGTCTACAATTGTTTGTGTGGTCATAAAGGGAGAGAAGAGCTAATCACATGTTTATAGAAATCTTGGTATGATTTGAAAGCTAGTATTATTATTCTTTCCTTAATGCTGGATTTCTTGTGATTATTAAGGGATTAATTCCAATATCAGCAATGATATTTTGTATTAAAGTATACTCTGTACTTAATAGATATGTAGACTAATACTATTAAACTTCTGTATTTAATTAAACATTCTGTTTTATTTTCTACACTGTTAACATACTGTAAAGCTTGTTTTAGTCAGTATCCTGCGACCCCTATCTGCCTTCAATGGACTTAATCCAGTTCAGTCTACTTTAGTTTTGCCGAGGTGCGTAGATCCAGTAGTTACCAATGTCCTCTTGTTGAATACATGAGTTTAAGTAATTGAAAATTAGCAGAAATAGATAGAAAATCCACGACAATAAGTCCCACCCTTATGAGTACCTGCTCTCTGTATGTGGGCACGAACAGAAAATCATTCTATACATATTGTGTTAACCGAATACTGCTGAAACACCTAGCATCAAATTACATACATTACCTGGATTAGCCAATATATAGGTAAAAGCTTATCAACAGGTACATTCTTGGCCAGGGAGGCACAGGGAGGCACAGGGAGAGGGCTGTACAACCTGTATTTCTGCATGTTAAATTGTATCGAACAATTATCATATTACAAATAAATCTCTGAACCATATCGGTGTGTCTTGTTATTACTGGTCATCATAATAGGGTTTTCCAGAACAACCTCAATTTGGAAGATTCAACTCGAGATCCAAACTATCGCATATGGTAACGTCCACCCTACACAGAAACCAAACTATCGTTTATAGGAAGTTCCACTCCACACAGAAACCAAACTATCGTTTATAGGAAGTTCCACTCTACACAGAAACCAAACTATCGTTTATGGGAAGTTCCACTCTACACAGAAACCAAACTATCGTTTATAGGAAGTTCCACTCTACACAGAAACCAAACTATCGTTTATAGGAAGTTCCACTCCACACAGAAACCAAACTATCGTTTATAGGAAGTTCCAATCCACACAGAAACCAAACTATCATTTATAGGAAGTTCCACTCTACACAGAAACCAAACTATTGTATATGGGAAGTTTCACTCCACACAGAAACCAAACTATTGTATATGGGAACTTCCACTCTGCATAGAAACCAAACTATTGTATATATGGAAAATTCCAATCCACACAGAAACCAAACTATTGTATATGGGAAGTTCAAATGCACACAGAAACCCAACTATCGTATATGGGAAGTTCCACTCCACACAGGAACCCAACTGTCGTATATGGGAAGTTCCACTCCACACAGAAACCAAACTATTGTATATGGGAAGTTTCACTTCACACAGGAACCAAACTATTGTATATGGGAAGTTCCACTCCTCACAGAAACCTAACTATCGTATATTGGAACGTCCACTCCACACAGAAACCAAACTATTGTACACGGTGAGTTCCACTCCACACAGAAACCCGACTGTCGTATATGGGAAGTTCCACTCCACACAGAAACCTAACTATCGTATATAGGAACTTCCAATCCACACAGTAACCAAACTATTGTACACGGTGAGTTTCACTCCACACAGAAACCAAATAAACCATCGTATATGGGAAGAATTCTGTACATTGATCATGTGTGACATTTCCTTTCTCGTCTGACAGTTAAGAGTTAAAAAAAATAGCACAAGTTATTCTTTTCATCAAAACTTTATATTTCACTGGTAAATATTTAATTGTCTTTCGATAAATTGGAACCAAATTTTATCGGGGGAAAAAAGGTACTTTTTTTGTCTGCTGAATTCTGGAGATTACTGTTTGGAGTCTATAGAAATAATATTCCACAGTGTACTGTTGCTGATCTATGGTGGTTTCAAGAATAAATAATTTTTGCAGCATTCTTTACAAATAGTGTTCTTGTATATGACATCCATGATTCCCTTGAAAAAAACATATTTTTTCTTTAATGTTCAAATCAAAGGGAGGTAATCCCATTATTTTTAGCATACCTGTTCCGAAGGACGCCATACTGCAGCGTCCGGCGTCCGGCAGGCAACTTTCCTTTAAAACGCTACTTATCCTGAGCGGTTTAGTAGATTATGACTAAATTTGGTCTGGAGCATCCTTAGGCCAGGGAGACTCAATTTTGTATAAACGGTGGGTGTAGCACCCCTGGGGGCAGAGGGGTGGGGCAAATTAAGGGAAAAAGAGGTAAATACTTTAAAAGCCTTCTTCTATCGTAGGGATTAGGGGATTTTATCCTTCTATAGTCTGAAGCATCCTTGGGCCAAGGGGATTCAATTGTGTATGAACAGTGGGTGTGGCCCCCTTGGGGGCAGAGGGGCGGGGCCTAATAATGGAAATAGAGGTAAAACCTTTAAAATCCTTCTTCTACAGTAGGGATTAAAGGAGTTTATCCTTATTTAGTCTGGAGCATACTTGGGCAAAGGGGACTCAATTTTGTATAAATGCTGGGTGTGGCCTCCTTGGAGGCAGAGGGGCGGGGCCGAATATGGGAAATAGAGGTTAAACCTTTAAAATCCTTCTTCTACCATAGAGATTAAAGGATTTTATCCTAAATTATTGGAGCATCCTTGCATCTTGGTCTTGGTGTTGCCCCCCTGGGGGCAGAGGGGCGGGCCCAATAGGGGAAACATAGCAAATTCTTCAAAATCCTTGTCCTTCTTTAGGAAGGACAGGATTTTGTCCAAATTTGGTATAAAGTATTCTTGGGTGAAGGGGAACCAATTTTGTATAAACGGTGTGTCTGACCCCCCAGAGAGGCAGGGCCAAACAAGGGATATAGAGGAATAGCTTTAATATCCTTTTTTCTTCCTTTTGAATAATGTTATTTTGACCAAATTTGAACAGTAGCATCCTATAGTGAAGGGAAATTAATTTTGTGTAAATGGTGTGTCTGACCCCCATGGGGCCTGAGAGGTTGGGGCCCAATAGAGGTAATTTAGCAAATTCTTGAAAATTATTCTTCTAGAGGAATAACAGGATTTTGTCCATATTTGATCTAGAGCATCATTGGGTAAAGGCGACCTGATTTTTTATCAAAGGTGGGTCTGACTCCCCTCGGAACAGAGGGGCGGGGCCCAATAGGGGAAGCATAGCAAATTCTTCAAAATCCTTCTTCTCCTGTAGGAATGACAGGATTTTGTCCAATTGCATATAAATATAACCCCTCACTAACCATGTAATACATGTACACTATCAGCAACATCTAGCTATTCTAACTTCAATTTTACTAACATTTCCAGGTGAGCGATACAGGCCCTCTGGGCCTCTTGTTTACACAGTTATTTCCCTTTGGCCAGTCCCAACATTTTTAGCAGATATTACATGGTAGTTATTTCCCTTTACCTTATTCCAGAGTTAA